CCAATTACAAGGACTAACTTTAAGAGTAGAGACTTTGCTCTTGTTGGCTGTAGAAAGGGAAATTGGAAAGATCTGAAGGATTAGTTATGCAACAGTTTGCTTTAAAGACAGAAAGGTTCACAAGCCAAAGAATGCAAGTAGTCTCTAGAAGACAGCAAGGACCTCAGTCATATAACTATACAGAACTAGAATCTGCCAACATGAATGAGGCTAAAAGTGAGTTTCCCTCCAAGCTTCCAACAGTGAGCACATCTCTTTTGGATCTTTAATTCTGGCCTTGTGAAACCCTGAACAGAAGACCCAACCAGGTCCATGTGGACATCTGACACAAAGATCTGGTAAAAGAGATGATTAAAAGGGTGTGTTAAGCCTCCCAATTTTGTGCTGCAAAATTTAAAATGTCTTGAGTGCTGACATGATGCTTTAAAAAGTTGTGGATTTAGAGACATTTAGAATTTCAGATTTTTGAGCCAGACATCATGGTGCACACCTGTAATCCTAGCACTCTTGGAATGCTGAGGTGGAAAGACCACAAGTTTGAGGCCAACTGGAGTTACAAACTGCGTTCAAAGCAAGCCTTCACCACACAGCGAGAACCTGTCTCAAAAAAAAAAAAAGAAGAGCTGGAGATACAGTTTAGTGGTAGAGTACTTGCCTAGTATTTAGAAGGCCCCAGGTTCAATCCCTGTATCAGAAAAAAATGGAATTTTAGATTTTGGATTAGGGATACTCAATCTATATTGTCCTGCCATTCTGGTGAGTGCAAGGTGCAACTGTACTGTGCTTTTAATTTGCATCTCACTGTTTACTAACAAAGCTAAACAACTTTTCATGTGATTACTGGCTATTGGGTATCTCCTCTTTTTAGGAGTCACTCATCCATTATTCTACAGAGGAGCTTGTCTTTTCATGTTATCCTTAACAAGCTTTATAATTTGTTCTCACAAGAATAAGTTTAAAATTTTAACTAATAAAAATATGAGAAACAAGAAAATGCTAACAAATTTGGTAACAGGAGTACATTGTTAAGATAAAATTATAAATATCTGATAAACTGATTACATTAAAACTTAAAACTTCTCTATAAGAAGTACCATAAATAAAAGACAAGTGACAGATCAGAAAAAATATCTGCAGCAAGTAACAGAAGACTGCATCTAAATGTGTAATATATAAAGAAGACTAAAAAACAAAAAATTTCAACAGAAATACAGACCATGGACATTAAGCAGGCAAACAGAAAAGAAATACAAATGAGCTCCTTGTCAAACAAAAACAGTGAGATGCTATTTATACCTACAAAACTAGCAAAACTCAAAAAATGTGGGTGAGGCTATCAATAAAAAGATATACTTTTTAAATTTTGAGACAGGGTCTTGCTATGTAGTTCAGGTTGGCCAACTCACAACTTTAGAATATTATAATATAGCCCTATCACAGAATATTAAGAAGCCAACAAAACTAAGGTGGCAAACTCCACGTCCACTCACAAAAAAAGCTATCTGTGACTCTAAATGAAAAGTCAGGTAGTACCAATAAGGAAGTGAGGCTGTGACAGAGGAAATTACTGGTGTCCTGAGCAGAGAAGTGACATGATCTGACATGTTTTAAAAATACTACTCTAGCAACTCAAGCAAGGGAAAGAGCCAGAATAAAGCCTCTGAAGTAGAGCCATTCTCAGCATGGTCTAGGCCTCGTAAGAAATCCTTCTTGTGTGGCCAACAAGGAAGGCAGTAGTTAAGGTAAGTATCAGAGAGTACCAGGTTGTGTAGCAGCTTGTCAGACAAAGAACTCAGGCTTTTCCTCGGAACGAGATGAAAACTCACTGGAAAATTTTGGACAGACTAATAGATTTTAATGTATCACCATGCCTGCTGTGCTGGAAAGGCTTTAGGAAAACAAAGGCAGAAGCAAGAAAATGAATTTAGGATGTTATATGATGAGCTGAAGTATGTTCCCCAAAAGATACATTGAAACCCTAACCCGTGGTACATGTGAGTGCAAGCTTATGTTGAATAAAGTATTATGGATTGAACTGTCTCATCAAAAATGTGTTGAAATTCTCACCCGAGTAGCTCTGAATGTGAGCTTATTTAGAGATAGTTATTACAAAGGTAAACAAGTTAAAATAAGATCATAAATGTGGGCTATAATCCAGTGTGGCTGGTCCCCTTATAAAAAGGAAAAATTTTGACATACATGTCATGTATATTAAATGAAGGCAGAGATCAGTGAAACATCTATACATCAAAAAATGCCAAAGATGGTTAGCAAACACCAGAGGTTAAGTGAAAGGATTGGAGCAAATTTTCCCTCACAGCCCTCAGAAAGAACTAATACTGATCCCAGGCTTGATCTCACACTTCTGGCCTCTGAAACCACAGACAATCAATTTCTGTTGTTCATGCCATCTAAATGCAGCACTGTAATTGCGCCTTTGCCAATACTTCTGTCTAGAGGCCTGTTGCCAATTTTATCTTCAGTGAAATTTTTGTTCCCACAAAAGGCAGGATTACAATTTTTTTCTAACATATTGAGTTGGCATAGTCTGTTCTTGGTTATCAAAAATACTCTTGTAGCTTTGGGATTTTGAATTGGTGAATATTCATGATGTGTGGAAAAGCATGACACATACTGTACAAACTCCGTCACACAAAATGGCATGTCGTGTATATACACATGGGACCTAGAACAACACATCCAGCTAAGCTGCTTATGACTGCAAATAGCTTTGTGCTTTGCTTGTGTTTTTGTTTCCTGTAATGCACATATCAATTTTGAAAAAATAAAGATTACTATATTTTTAAAACTAAAAGAAAAAAAGCCATCTAGTTTGTCATACAGTGGTGCTTTGGTACTTGAAATTAATTGGTTCTGGAAGGCACGATGAGTACCAAACAAATTGTTTTGTCTTGGAAGGGTAGCAAGTCATGAGCCAATCGACACCCAACAAGTTCTACTTTGTTCATCGAGTACTAACTAAACAATGAGTAACAGGACAAAATCTTCTCAACAAAATGTGTCATGTACCAAATTCAATGAGTTTCAAAGCAGTTGACGATAGGAAATAGGGAGACATACTTTGTGAAGATGGGAAGGGGAAGGGATGAGGGGACATAGAAAAGCAGGGAGGAAAAGGGGAAATAAAAAAGGATCAAGATGTGATATGTACCAATTCCCCATGATGAATAGATTCACTATTTATTACGAAATATAGTAATAAAATTTTTTTAAAAAGCAGGTGAGCACCAAGATCTGACTACTTTATTACGGCATCCCTAGCAAACTAATATCAACCGTATTTCCACAGTTTTGGCCATAATGATGGCCTGTAGTAGGGTAGTAGCAGCAGAAAGGTGAGAAATAGTTGGCTTCAGCAGTGAAAGAACCAATAAGGTTTACTGAAGGACTGGTTGAGAGATACAAGAAAGAAGAGTCAAAGATAACTCCAGGGTTTTTGTTCTTAACAAGTCAAAAGGTTCTGCCATTTACTGAAATGGGAAAGACTGTGGCAGGTCCTGGTCTATAGCGGAAATCTGGATTCAAACATTCAACTAAGAAGTATAGAATAAAAACAAAAAGATGAAAAGAACTAGAAGAACTCAGCAAGGAAAATGAAAAAAAGAAGAAAAACAGTTATGAAAGAGAGTAGAAAAAATAAAACAGATTAACTCCAAGAAAAAATACAAGCTCATATAGAAGAGGCCACAGGAAATCACAGAAAACGGAAAAGATCCAATATCTGTAAACAGAGAAGACCACAGACACTGAAAACAAAGAAGATCAAACATATGTATATTTATTATTCCCAAAAATGTTAATAGAAGAAATAGGAGCAAAATCACATTCTATACATAGACACACAGACACACAGACACACTACCACCCTCCTCCCCCTCCCCCTCCCCCTCCTCCTCTTTCCTGGGCAGGCTGTGGTAGCACATGCCTGTAATCCCAGCATTCTAGGAGGCTAAGGCTGGGGATCAGAAGATAGTGTCTAGCCTGTAAAACTTAGTAACTTAGCAAGACCTTCTCTTAAAATAAAAAAATAAAGCACTGCAGATGTAGCTCAGTGCACAGGATCTGGGTTCAACCCCCAGCACCACAAAAATTAATTTCTTTATTTTATGAACCAAAAGGTCATGCAATTTCTACCAAAAAAATTCATGGTCACTCAATATACATATTTTGGTGTAGTTTCTATGCTTCAAGGGACTACAGTAAACCTTAGCAATACCATCCTTTCTAAATATAGAACTAAAACCAAATTAAGTATGGGAATTAGGGTTGTAGGATAAACTGTAAATTTTATACAAACTCTGAAAATATTACAAGGAACAAAATCAGGAGGATGACGAGCCTGTGTGTCACAGCACTAGACCACTTGTTAGGGACAATCTCAAGACAACAGGAAGGGTAGAGTATGGCTTGCTGCTGCATATTGAAACTTGCTAGAGGTAATAAGACCTGCAGAGAGCTAGCTGGACAACCAAGGGACTGAAAGAAGAAAAACAGAAAAATCATAGATAAGGTATATGAAAAATCTTAAATTGAAATGTATTTTTTTAAATGGATACTAACCTCAAGGTTTTCATAATTATCTTTTCTCCTTAAATTCAAAGGGCTCTTTCTAGAACTATTACACTCTGTCACAGAAAAAACATTAGAAGTTCAGCAGTACTTTCCATTTTACTTCTATTGCTCTCCCTTCTATTATATTTAACAGACACAAAACATTAGCCAGAGAAGAAGTAGGGTTTGAGTTTGGTCTTGATTAGGAGAGACTTCAGCATGTTTTGCTGCTATCATCACCACACTTGTATTTCTAGTCAGTTTCTCACAGAGACCATTGGAATTCTGTCCTTTTTGTTCCTTCTACAATGAAAAGGAGATCAACACTTTAGACAGCTCAAGCAATACTGTTTTCCTGGGCAAAACACATTGGTTTACAATATCACTTAATGTCAAATATCACTTAATGTCAAATAACATTTACTTACCCCCAACCACAAACACACTTTATCAGTAGGAGGAACAAAAGCTTTGCAGTACAGGTTATCTGCCAGTAAGAATCTGGTTTCCAGTGAAGTGGTAGACTCCTTTAAAAAAAATGACAGTATCAGAAACAGGCCAATTTGATATCAAGATTATAAAGGACAGATTCCACAGCTGAACTTAAGATATTTAAAATAGTACCATCATGCAGACTAAGTATAGCTGGAAAAGAAATGAATACTATCACCAGATAGCTGGGAATATAAATTTGGCAGCTCATTTAATCTCTCCATGTCTCAGGTTCATCTTTAAAATAAGGATAATAATAGTCCATGTATCTACCAATACAATGATAAGTACTGAATTCACTAATGCACACAGTGTCTAGTTCACAAAGTACTACATGCAAATTATATAAGTGCTACATAAGAACTAGCTATTATCCAAGGTCCTGAGTTCAATCCCAGGTACGAAAAAAAAAAAAAGAATTAGCTATTATCATTACTTTATTGGCAATTCATTCCCAAGCAATTTCTGAAATCCTCTTACAAAGTTCACCACACATAATAATGTACTAGAAATGTAGGTATTCTATCATTCAAGTAATAAATCATGTGTGCACACAATCTTTTGAATACAATAATATGCTTATGAAATTTAACTAGCTATGTGATATTGGTGAAGTGTTAATTAATCTCTCTATAATTCCTTTTGGTACCAGGGATCAAACTCGGGACCTTGTGCTTGCGAGGCAGGCAGCGGAACCGCTGAGCTAAATCCCCAGCCCTCTCTGTAATTATTTACTCAACTATAAAATGAGAACCTTGAGAACCTGAAACAAGACTATCCCTAAGATTTTTTTTCTAGCTGTATAAATCTTAGACTCCCTCCTATTTCTTAGGGAGGACGACAATCAACAGAAATCCTTAGATGCTTGTTACTTCAAAATAAGGTATTTTTTTATACCTAAAACATTTTCTAATTGCATTTAAACTTCACAAACACTACACATAAATAAAACAATCCAAGTATGGGCCTTAGAATTAAACATGACTTTTAGGGAAAGGCACAAAGCCTCATTTTGTACAGAAGCACTTTGTAACATTAGTCAAACTGGTTTATATAGCATAGATCAGATACCAGCAGCCAATGAGTCGAAGAAGACAAGTCTGCCAAAGTATCCTGGTCTGCTCAAATTTATACACAAAAATGCACTTACTTTTTTCTTCTGCATGTATTTTAGAATTGCCAAAGTCTGCTTAATTTCAGGAATCTGACCTTTTAGTCTATGAACGAGAAAAAGGTCCACTTAGTATTTTGCAGGCAAAAATACCAGGACATACTCTTACTAGTTTTGCATTTTCTAGTGATACATTCTCTTTAGAACTATTTACAAATAAAAAATATCTTATTTCATACAGAAATTCACAAATTTTACTTTAAATATTTATGCTATTTTAGATATAAGACACAAATATTTGTAAAATGACAATATCTAAAAATCCCCATCAAAATATTAATGAAATTCTTCACTGAACCAGAAAAAAATCTTAAAATTCATATGCAAGCACAAAAAATCTCAAATAGCCAAAGCAATTCAGATCAAAAATAGCAACGCTGAAAGTATCACAATGCCTGACTTCAATTTATACTATGAACCCATAGTAACAAAAACAAGGTAGTACTTGGACAAAAACAGATATGAAGACAAATGGAATAGGACAGAAAACACACAGAAACAAACCCCTGCACCTAGAGCCATTTCACATATTGGAGAAAAAAACAGTCTCTTTAACAAATGGTGTGGGAAAACTGGATATCCACATGTGAAAAACTGAAACTAGATCCCTCTCACCGTACACAAAAATCAACTCAGAATGGATCAAAGACCTAGATATAAAACCTGATACTTTAAAAATGCTAAAAGAAAACACAGAGGAAACACTTGCAATCACAGGCATAGGCAAAGACTTCCTAAAAGGAACTCTAATAGGAAATAATATCAAGAACCAACTAATGGGACTCTATCAAATTAAAGTTTCTGCACAGTAAAGCAAACAATTAACAGCCCACAGAATGGGAGAAAATCTTTGCCACCTACTCTTCTGACAGAGGATTAATATATAAAGAATATATAAATAAATATACATGTATAAAGAATATATAAAGAACACAGACAGGTCTGTACATCTGTAATCCTAGCACTTGAGGAGGCTGAGGCAGAAGAATTCCAAGTTCAAGTCTATGCAACTCAGTGAGACCCTGTCTCAAAAAACAAAACAAAAAAAACAGCTGAGGTGCAGCCTAGTGCAAAGGCCCTGGGTTCAATCCCTAGTACTGCACACGCATGCATCTCACACACACACACACACACACACACACACAATTATCACCAATGATCAAGTGATCTGATTAATAAATGGGCAGATTAAGTGAAAAGACATTTCTAAAAAGAAGTACAAATGGCCAATATTTATATGAAAACATGCTCAACATTTTAAGTCAAAAATGCACTGCAATAAAAAGTACACTGAGATTCCATCACACCCCAGTCAGAATGGCTATCATCAAGAATACAAAAAATAATAGATGTTGGTGAGAATGCAGGGGAAAAGGAACCTGCCACACAGTTGGTGAAAATGTAAACTAGTACAACCACTATGGAAATCAGTATGGAGGTTCCTCAAAACACTAAAAATAAAACTACCATACATCACACTCATGGGTATAAATCTCAAGAAATCAATGTCAGCATACTATACAGACATCTACACACCCACGCTTATCATGGCACTGTTTACAACAGTCAAGTTATGAATTGGCCTAGCTCAGTGATGGCAAACATTTTAGAGTTTTCAGTGATACACACAGCCCGCTATGTGCTGTAGGTTCACTACCACTGGCCTAGGTGTTTATCAACAGATGAATGGATAAAGAAAATGTGATGTACATACACAATGGGGTATTTTTCGGCTATAAAGAATGAAATCATGTCATTTGCAGGAAAATGAATAGAATTAGAGATCATCATGTTAAGCAAAATATCCCAGACTCAGACAAGTATTGCATGTTTCTCTCATATGTGGAATCTAAAAAAAAAGAAAGAAAGTAAAAGGGAGAGTACTGGGAGGACCGAGGAGGAGGTACTGGAAGCTAATGATGGGGTGAATACGATCAAAATATGTTATATACATGTATGGGAATGTCACAATGAAACCACTCTGTATAATATGTACTAACGGAAAACACATTTAATAAAATAGTTCTAAAATGTTAAAGTTATAAAAGTTTAATGAAAATATTGAAGCTATAAGAGCAAATATGTATTGAATATGTATTATGTAGAAAGCCCTATTCTATATGTCAAACTTCCCAATGCTACTTTAGTCTACAGCAGATCATATTCTACAGAAGTGATTCAGAAGTTCTACATTTGATTACTTGCATTTCAAATAGATTACAGCTAATCTTAAAGTAATACATATTCAAGTATATTATATTCCAAATTCAAAACCATTAGCCTCCGCTCCAATGCAGCCACCCCGATAAGTAGCCAATACATACACCACAGCTAAACACCAGGCAAAGCACACTGAAATCTCAGTGTATTCACTTGTCACACTGTAAGAAAATATACAAAAATCATCTGAATGTCCTCTGAATTCTCCTGGGTGAATCATTATCTACCCCCATCACTCCTATAGGTAAGGAAAAAGAGAGAACTGGCCAGATAGAGGGAGAGAACCAAGCAATGAAGCTGAGAATGAACAGCACTCTCCTCACTCCAACATTCCACTACCTGGGATGACGACAGCAAAGACAACCAAGGGCAAAGGAACAGAGAGAATCTACCAAAGGTGGAGTTACCTGGTTGAGAAGAAGCATCTGTCAGATGGCTGTGCCCTAGTCTGTAACACCAGCAGCACTGCCCCTGTCCTATCCACCAGGAGGAACTTAAATTGCCCCCTACTTCCACATATATTACCGACCAAAGTACATAACATCTCTAAAGGAATACGAGCTGACAGGGAAAAGAATGATCAATTCAAAATAAAATAAAGACAACAAACTCAACAACCTCTATCGTATAAAACAAAATTAACAAATACTAAAAGATTATATATTCAGTATTTTTAAATACCTCAAACAGAAAGAATAAATACTGGTTAATACGAAGAACAAGTAATTCTAAGAACTGACCAAAACTACAGATATAAAAAATGTAATGGATGAAATAATTAACACATGGATATCCATCTAATTGCCAAAAGACAAATGACAAAAATTAGAAGCAAGGAAGAGAAATGGAAGGCAGAAGTGTCAACATACATTAACAGGAATCCCATAAGAAGAAAGAGACAAATAATTAACAGATGAAAGAAAAAATGTAGAAATATGATTAATCACAAAATTTCCAACTAAAAAAGGCCTCAAATTCATATGCTATATAAAGGACATACCCACTAGGTACAGAGCCCAAGGAAATGAAATCAACATAAAAGAGATTACCTGCAGCTCTGTTTACAAACAGCCAAGATATGGAATCAACCAACAGATGGGTGGATTTTTAAAATGTGGTATAGATACACAATGGAGCCAGACAGGACAGCACATGGCTATAATTCCAACACTGAGGACAAATGAAGCAGAAGGATCACAAATTCAAGTCCCACCTGGGCACCTTAGTAAAACTGTCTCAAAATAAAAACTAGAAAGGGCTGGAGATGTAGCTCAGTGTGAAGATCCTGAGTTGAGTCCCTACTGGGCCCCCTACACAAAAAAGATATGCAATAAGTATTATTCTGCCATAAAACAATTAAATCTTATCATTTATGACAACACTGATGGATCTGAAGGACAGTATGTTAAGTGAAATAAGCCAAAGTAAGTCAAAATCATATGTGGCATCTAAAGAAGTTCATCTCAAAGTAGAAGAGAGTAGAATAGTGACAGGAAGGGTAGGGAGAGGGGAGGATAGAAAAAGGTTGAATATTTGGTACCAAAACAGTTACATAGAGGTAATAAGTTCTAGTGGTTCATAACATAGTAGAATGACTACAGTTTATAATATTTTATATTTTATGAAGAACTAGAATAGAGGAGCTCAAAGCTTCCAAAAAAAAATAATGAGATGGAAATGCTAATACCTTTATTTGATTATACATTGTATACATGTATTGAAATATCACACTATACTCCATAGATAAGTACAATTAGTACGTGTCAGTTACAAAAACTAGAAAAAAGTTTGATGATTATTTAGGTAACAGAAAAAGATGACCACATGTAGATTATGAAATACTGAATAACTTTTATATAAGCTTGAAGGTAAAGTTAAATAACAGGCTGCAAGAAAAGATTTACAACATATACAAAGAAAAGATTAGGGTTCAAACTATATATATCTATCTGCTGTAAAACAACTAGATCAGGCACAAAAATAGGATTGCTGCATAGCCAATATCATGTGGGTGAAGAAAATTCCAGAAAAATAAAAAGGAAAAGAACAAAAAAAGGCTTTGTGTTGAGCAGTAAGGAATGGCAAAAGGTAATGTCATGGAAGGGAGGTAGGTGCCCATTCCAGCTGGGCCTCTGCCCTGCAGCTCAGTGGGCTTTCAGAAGTGAAATACAAGAACCTGGAACTAGGCTCAAATGGTCCAAGGCTGGAATCCCCTCAGCAGCTCCTGGCAAAAGGAAAATCTTTTATGGGTAAATATAATTTAAACAAGCATCTATAGTTACAGGAAGCTGACATGTATCAACTAAGAAAAGCAAAAATACATTCACACAAATTATAGTGAAATAACAACAAAAGTGGATTATTTTTAAAGCATGCAGAAAATCAGTTTATCTAAAAAGGCTGAACCTAAAAACAACCACATGTTGTTTACACAGAACACCCTTAGACAAAAGAACGTTTGGAAGAAGAGACTGTAAAAGAGCACACCAAGGCAATATTAAAGAACCACCAAGGATACTATTAGTATCCAATAAAACAGACTTTAAGACAATAAGCATTATTATATACAGTTAAAACCAAGAAGCTATAATAATCCTCAAACTGTATGTACCTAACACATTAAAAATAAAAACGACCGAAACTGCTTTGTTAAGATGAGTAGCTGGCAGTAGGCCAGCCTTCTCACCTCAAACCACTCCAGCAGCCAGAGAAAACATACAACTCCTCTGCTGGAAGAGAACAGAGAGCTGCTGAGGTGAGGGGGACGTGAAGATAAGACTGCCAGGGAAAAACCTGAGAGGTGAACTGATTTACTGCAGTCACTTT